GCAGGGAAATTTCAGTTCCATCCAGATGTTGGTTCCTTCAGTCAACCTCAGGAATAAGATAAAAGGGTCAGTGCTGATAAGCAGTTATCTAGGGCTTGACTCAAAATAAACTATGCGGGGTGTAGGGATGGTAGATGGGACCCTCTCTCTTGAAGTTAGCAGTCTTCTGGGATTAGAGGCCCCAGCTGAGGATTACATCCTCATCTGCAGTAATGGAGGTTGTGAGAAACACACAGAGAAAGGAGGAGTCTGGTGGCGGTAACTCATTACAGAATCCAGGACCCTTGGCTGGCTCTTGTGTAGAAAAGTCTCGCCTAGGATAGGGCAGCAGTTATCAAAGTGTATCCAAGACCCCTGAGGTGCAAGACCATTTTCATAGAAACGCCGGGATGTCATCTGCCTTTTGCACACTCTTGCTCTCCCGAGTTCCTGTGGGGTTTTCCAGGGAAAACCTGGCCTGTGATATCACAAAACAGGGAATGCAGAGACAGATAGGAGAATTCAGCTCTCACCAGTCCAAAAGAGATTTGTAGAAATTAAAATCACTGCTATTCTTCTCACTAATGATTTTTGTTTTGAAAAATAGAATTATATTTTGTTTGAGTATTAATGGTAACATACAGTAGATTGTTAATATTTTCAAGTGAATTCATACACTTTTTCTAACTTCTTATTTAACTTCTAACACAGGAAATATTGATAGATTTAACTCACATAAATAGCAGCCTTTTGGAGTTCTCAGCAATTGTTAAGAGTTATAGGGTTGTGTAGAACAAGAAGCTTGAGAGCCCCTGGAAAACGGGTGCTCAGGTGATAGTCAGGTGCTTAGAGGTGTTAGACGGATGCCAAGATGTCTTCTGCAACTGCTCCTGGATTTGAAGTAATTGGCCACATGGAGATGGGTGGGCAGTGCCTCCACTTTACAAACCAGAAGCTGCTGAATGTGTCTGGTGTCTAGGCCATGGGCTGTGCAGGGATTCCTGTTGTATCTGTTCTATCTAAGCTGGGATTCCTGTGCAGAGGCCTGGCCCTGAAAACCCGCTCTCCTTTGCTCCCTGCCAAGTACCTTCTGTGTGACGTCAACCCTCCAGAGGGCTTCAGCCTCCATAGGGGCATCTGCATCCACATTGCCTTCCTCCTGAAGACCCTGCTGAAGATGGAGGAGCCGGTACTGGTGCTATCCCCTTGGGGCCACCTCTACCACTGGCAGAGCCCCGACATCAACCAGGTCTGGATTCCCTGGTCCGACTCCTTTGACCTCCCAAGTCTCAACAGAAACATCCCTGACATTGAGTATGAGCAGTTCATTGCATGTGAGGTGGTGGTCATTTAAATGGGGCCAGATGGTCGTTGTTCTGGTTCTGATCTGAACATCGGGCCATCTTACTTTGGGCTTGTCGGTCTGCTTTGGGGCCCTGCTCATGTTTCCCACACTGCAGGTGAATTTGGTTTTTCCATAGTTTTTTCGGGAAATCAATTTGAAGTGTATGAGCTCTATGTCCCCTCACCTCTGAAAACCCTGGCCTTCTGGTGAGATGGAGCGGTGACAAGGAGGCCACTGGCACAGAGGCCTTGTCCCAGAAGGACTCGCTCCCTGTGCAGTCAGGGCTGTTCTTACCTGTAGGAAAACACAATGTGTGTGTAGCATGGGCCACGTGCTGGAGAAGATATGTAACTACCCATCCAGTATAATTTGGTCCTGCTCAAGCTACCCATTTTAAGTTTTGTAAGAGGGAAGAGTTCAAGATTTTCTTTGAATAAAGGTATTTAGAGCTTACCAATTTTTTTTAAATTGAAATGTGGTTGATTTACAATGTTTTGGTAGTTTCAGTTATACAGCTGTTTTGTTAGTTTCAGGTATACAGCATAGTGATTCAGTTGTACATATACATAGTCTATTCTTTTTCAGGTTCTTTTCCATTATAGGTTGCAAGATACAGAAAATTGTTCCCTGTGTTCTACAGCGAATCCTTGTCGTTTGTCTATTTTACATATAGTAATTTGTATCTGTTAATCCCAAACTCCTAAGTTTGTTTTATAAGTCTGTGAGTATGTTTTTGTTTTATAAATAAGTTCATTTGTATCATTTTTTTAAAATTCCACATATAAATGATATCATATGATACTTGTCTTTGTCTGACTTATTTCACTTAGTGAGATGATCTCCAGTTCCATCCATGTTGCTGTAAATGGCCTTATTTCCTTCTTTGTTATGACTGAGTAATATTCTGTTATATCTAAATACCACATCTTTATCCAGTCATCTGTCAGTGGACGTTTAGGTTGCTTCTATGTCTTGGCCATTGTAAACAGTACTCCTATGAAAATTGGGGTGCAGGTATCTTTTGGAATGAAGGTTCCCTCTGGATATATGCCTAGGAGTGGTATTGCTGGATTAGGTGATAAGTCTTTTTATTTTTTTGTCTTTTGAGGAATCTCCATACTGTTTTCCACAGTGGCTGCACCAAACTACATTCCCACCAACAATGTAGGAGTGTTTCCTTTTCTCCACAGCCTCTCCGACATTTATGGTTTGTGGACTTTTGAATGAGGGCCATTCTGACTGGTGTGAGATGATAACATTGTAGTTTTGAGCTGCATTTCTCTGATAATTGAGCAATATTGAGCACTTTTTTATATGCCTATTGGCCATTTGTGTGTCTTCATTGGAGAATTGCTTGTTTAGTTGTTCTGCCCATTTTTGGATTTGGGTGTTTATTTTTTTCTTACTAAGTTGCATGAACTATTTATATAGTCTAGAAATTAAGCCATGGTCAGTCTCATCTTTTGCAAATATTTTCTCCCATTCCATAGGTTGTCTTTTGTTTTACTTATGGTTTCTATTGCTGTGCAAAGGTTTATAAGTTTAATTAGGTCTCATTTATTTATTTTGGCTTTTATTTCTGTTGCTTGGGTTGCTTAGATTGCCCTAGGAAAACATTGCTGAGATGTATGTCAAATGTTTTGCCTATGTTTTCTTGAGGGAAGTTTATAGTGTCTTGTCTAATATTTAAGGCTTTAAGCCATTTTATTTGTTTCTTTTTGGTTTTTTTGTGACTCTATTGTATGCTTTTGATTTGTGGTTACCTTATTCTTCAAATATGTCAACCCATTACTATATCTATTTCCTTTAGACTGATAATCACGTAGGCTCCAACACATCCTAAGAATAATGAAGAAAAAAAAGAAAGAAAAAAATCTATATTTTCTTGCTCCCCTCTCCCATTCC